TCTTCCAAAGGTCCTGAGTTCAATTCCCAGCAACCACATGGTGGCTCACAACCATCTGTAATGAGGTCTGGTGCCCTCTTCTGGCCTGCAGGCATACACACAAACTGAATATTGTATACATAATAAGTAAATAAATATTTAAAAAAAAATTTATATCAAGCCGGGCGGTGGTGGCGTACGCCTTTAATCCCAGCACTCGGGAGGCAGAGGCAGGCGGATCTCTGTGAGTTCGAGGCCAGCCTGGACTACAAGAGCTAGTTCCAGGACAGGAACCAAAAAGCTACGGAGAAAGCCTGTCTCGAAAAAATAAAAAAAAAAATTTATATCTAAAATTTATAGCTGAGATTTGAACTCAGAAATACTTGCTTTTAAAGATTAGCTATACACCATGCAAACATTCTGACTCCCCAAAACATATATTAAAAAGTGATTTAAAGCCGGGGGCCCGTAGTACAGACTTTTAATCCTAGCACTGAGGAAGGCAGAGGCAGGCAGATCTCTGTGAGTTCAAGGCCAGCTTGACCTTCAGAGCAAGTTCCAGAAGAGTTACACAAAGAAACCCTGTCTCAAAAAATAAATAAATAAAACAAAACTAAAGTTCTTTGAGCACTGCATATAATTATATTAAACAAAGGGTGATGTTAATAATATTATTGAATTTTGGCACTAAGAAGAGGTCCTTCTTAATTTAGTCCATAATAAGGACTCAATTGTTCATCTTACAAATCTTTACAGTAGTAAGTAAATGCTCCTTGTTTGGTATTATATGTTTTCAAACTTCTTTTAAGGATTCTTATTCAGCAGGCTTTGCATCTTGGGGGCATTTAACTGCTAATGCTCTACAAATCTGGGCAGCCAAGGAAAACGCAGATGGTCCCATGGAACACAAACCACAGCAACATATGGTATACATTTACTTCTAACAAAGTGTGCTTCTTAACCTCTGGGTGTCCCCTCACCATTCCTTTATAAGGCTACTCATTCCTAGGGAAGGTTCAGTTTCCAGAAATGGAGCAACAAGCCCCACATGTGCCGTGTGGCCATTCAGATGGACAGAACGTGTCTGAAGACCTGTAAGCAGCGGCATTCAGCACAAGCTTCCTGGCAGTCCCTATGCATCCCTGAACTGTCTCTCCAGACAATAAGCCCCTTGAGGGCAAGTGCCACACCTGATATCCTATTTTATTAGTTGCACGAGGCTGAAGAATAAAATTATCTGTCATATGCATAATGATGTACATTTTATGAACTGCTCGTGTATGGAAGTCTCCTCCTTACATGTGACATGAAGTCGCATGTTCCTGACAACATTCACAGTGACTAAGCAATTAGCTAAAATCATAAACTAGTACATAAAAACCTTCCTCTGGCCATACAAGGAGATTTCCCCCTGCTTATCTTACACTCCCTTATTTGCTCTTAAGGTTTTCAGTACAAAGTTCAATGCTTATTTGCCTATTTTACAAAGACAACTAGTCTTAAGAACTTAATACACATATGGTAAGGTTCTGGTCTAAGGACTTTCTAAACATTAACCTTTTTAATCCTTCTGCTCACTCCATGAGACAGATGCTGCTTGTAGCCCCATTCGCTCCGAAGGAGACTAAGAAACAGAAAGAGAAACTCACCCAGAATCACAGGGTTGGTCAACAGCAGGCTTGACTCATGTGAGTGAGGTTTCTGGGTATATGTTAATCACTATTCTGCTTGAGCAAGAACGCAGGAAGATCCTTGCATGTGAGCAGTGTGGTACAAACAGGAAAAGAAAGGAGAGGAAACAGTGCTCACTCCTCTCTGTGATTGATTTGACTATATTTTTAAATCCTTTACTCATGTGACCAGAACTCCATGTAAGCGCTATACTAAATTTTCATGTACTGAAGGCATATGCAGAGGTTACCTTCACTGACACACAAAATACCCCAAACAAAATACTTGAAGACTCAACTTTCTTTTAAATTTTGCTTCTTGAATTAGGGACACGAACAGATTGCCTAGGCACCAGACAAGCTATATGCTCACATCTGTAAGTCCTAAGGATTTGCATATTTCTTACATAAGAATATCCCACCTGATATATTTGAGTGTTCACCTTATAGCTGTACACCCGAGCTTACAAATTATCTAACCCTTTTGTTCCTTTCATTTTCGACTACTTTTTCTTCAGGCACAGGGCAAGCACTAGCTTTCAATATAATGTTTAACGCATTTTATGTTTGTATGCTTTTATTTCAATTGTCTTAAAAACATGCTAGCAAACATCCAAACATATTGTAAAGACTTAAAATTCAAAATGTGTATACATATATCAACAGGAGTTATGAATTATGTATATTCCAAGCCTATATAAATTAGATTTTGAAAAACAAGCATCACAGTAGTCAGGCAGGTCATAATAAGACATTCCATCTGAAATGTAAAAACTACCTTGAATAAATTATCCATAAGTTAACACTCTCATTAGAATGACATATTTATTATTTCTGGGTTTCAGATGTTGCTTTAATGCATTTTGACTAACTGTTCTAATGGCACATTAAGAAACCATTTTAGGCCTTTCTCCCCACATTAGAATTTGCAGGCTTTATTTATGTTTGAACTAAAATAATATAATGTTTAAAACAATCATCCACTTCCCCCATGTAGAAGAACATCATTTTCTTTGGCCCAGAAACATTTAATTAAACCAGGATATGACTTTAGTAATTAGCTTTGTACCGAATGACTCTAAAATTAATAGCCAATTGTAAGACTTTAAAAATTGGGGAACTGACAATCAAAAGCGTCTTAAATGCTTTGTTTATGTGATGAAAAAGGAGTGATCCCTTAATTCCCTGACACACATTAGGCTGATCTCACAGGCTCTCTGCACCGGTGTCTAACACAGGCAAGTGCTTGAGGTTATATAAAATAAACAATCTCGGGATCTTATTGCAAATGTTTGCAATTTATGATGTAAACTGATTTGTGAAGAAAAAACAGGATCCCATGCTGCCGAAGCCAAAAAGGCATTTTTTTCAGAAATCAAAATAGTTCCGAAATTTGAGCATTGCATTATACTAAAGTATTACCATCTGAGGATCTAAAAAGTTACAATTCTGTAGGGGAGGGGGCAAAATCGATGTGTATCAGTTCAACTCTGTGCAGTTTTTTTAAAAAAAAAAAAAAACTGGGACTCCTGGACTAGAGTCCTTAACAGTAATCATGTCTTGAGTAAGCCCTTTTGACTTAGCCTACCCCACTCACACCCCTATTACCACCCCAACATGGATTTTCTTACTATGGAAAACTTCTCATTCCACGAAAGATTAAGGTTAGGGGATTCCTTTACTGATAACTGGTTACAATTATTGCATTTTGGCCCAAATAAAATAACATCATTAAAAACGGTCCATGTTTAAAATGAAGACATCACATCTCAAACCCCCTTCTGGGGAAGGTTTCGAAAGCGCAGGGTTTATATGTACCTGGCTCACCCAGTTGTCTGCCCAAGAGTTTGGGCTGCAGAGATCTGGAAAATTGGCCCAGAGAACCTATGTCGAAGCCTGGATCAAAGGCTCCGACCCCAGACAGCTAGGGTGATTGGGTTGTATCCTCCTGAGCCTCAAAGGAGAGGAAGTGGTGGCCAGTGTCTCCGACCTGAGCAGGAACCTTTGACCTTTCTTACCAGACCTAGGTTTCCTCTTCCTCCCTGGACATCAGCACTCAGGGGAGGCGGCAACGTGGGCATGGGTGGTATCCGGTGCCCAGCTGGCAGGGACATGCCACCTCCCTTGACCTGGGACTTAGCTCAGAATGCCCTGAAGAATCCACACAGGGTCCCACGCCGCTCCCATGACCCACGTTTGCCTCATGTGACCTCCATGTTTTCTTGGGGATCAAGTGAATGGTGGATCCCGCCTTTGATCAGAGGTTAGGATTGCCAGAGGGTTCGGAACCAGATAGGCGAGAGCCCCTGGATCTCTCCAAGGCAGCCCAGAGAGGACAGCGCTGTGGCCAACTGCGACCTTCACCAACTAGGAGAGCCACAGGGCTGAGCAGAGAGGACAAGGCCAATTCCTGCTCCGCAGCCTCTGGTAGCTGAGGGACAGATCAACCTCTCTCCCCAAGTCTAGTCTGTGAATAAGCTTCAAAGGCGAGCTCAGTCCCCGAGGAAAGCAGAGCGTCAAGCGGGCTCCGTAGGGGGTCACTACTATCTGCCAGCTCGTGACACTAGGGGATGCTAGGACATCTGCGACCTCCGCAGAGGGCTCCTCTCTAAGGAGCCAGGCGGGAGCAAGAAAGGGCATTCCGGACTCAGGCCTGGCTGGGACTGGACTTCCAGGTCTTTCTTCATCCTCCGCGCAAACACAAGCCCAAACGTCCCTCCCCCTCGACACACACACACACACACACACACACACACACACACACACACACACTGGCAGGACAGGAGCTCATCTTCAAACTTATGGAGCATTTGGAAGAGGGCGACTGATGCCAAACTGGAGGCGGGTTGGGGGGGTGTTGCTTTGTTCCCCGCGATTCTACGCCTTGCTCCTCCTCGGAGTTGACTTCCAAACCAGCAGCTCCAGGAAGTTAGGCGACCGAGGATCGATTGTTGATAATGCCATATATAACAAACCCAGGGGCAGTTGCGTGATTCCTCTTTTCTTTCTCCCCAAATGACCAAAACAAACTTTAAGGGTGAAAGTCTAGCCAAGTGAAGAAGGAGAACAAAACGTCTTGGGCGGAGGATTCTATTATTGTTGTTTTTCTAATCTGTTCTTTTTTGTTGATTTAGCATAAGCTGGTCTCTTAGTAGGTATTTAATGTGAGGCCAACGGAGTTGCTCTGAGTGCTAGGGATCCCCAGGGCCACCCTTCTCAGGGTACCCTGATTACCTCACATAAGAGCAGAGGGAAGCACTTCTTAACGTGTGTGTGTGTGTGTGTGTGTGTGTGTGTGTGTGTGTGCGTGTGAATATGAGTATATCATCAAAAAGGAAGAAGGAAGAGTATCCCGGATATTTTAATAGTAACAAGAACAAAGATGACGCGAACCCCATCAAATGAAACAATACTATTTTCATTCAATTGATCGCAAAGTGTCTTCGGTTAATAACTTGGCACTTATTTAAATGGTTTAACAGAAGTGGAGCCGAAACATTTTGTACTGACAACACATCATAACAGCATCTTTTGTTTAAAATAACTTAATACACTAGAAAAAATATGGCAAATATAAATAATTTTGTTTTCATGGAGAACAAATAGTTACAAAGCTCAAACGCATACCGAAGTTCAGTAAGAAGAGCTTTTCCTCTTTCTTGTAAATTAAAAGGGGGGAAAAAAGCCCTAGGCAGGCTTGCTAGAGAATTTGGACTACAGGTTGCTTAGCCCAAAGTGTCCCTGTTTAAATAGCTACATGAATTGAAACAAATAAAAAGATTACTTGAATGAATACACCTTTGTGAGATAAAATGCAAATGCTGAAAGTCAACCATTAGTTCACACATTATAGCCAAAATAAACTTTGTTCGTGTTTATCAACATATTATACACAAACCTAGTGTCTGTACCTAGCTGGGTGTCGTTTAAGGTGGATTTGACGGGATAGAGAGGGGGGGAAATAAAGCATTATCCTCAAACAGGACTTCAAGAAACCAGCAAGGGGAATTCACAAAACGGGAGGGAACCGACGACGCGTCTAGCACGGTGCACGGCTGTATACCTTCATGGCTTCCTTTGCTCTTTTTCTTTTCCCTGTATTTTGCTAACCGCCTCTATCTTCTTGGAAGACTCAAGAGTGTGTGTAACTCCCTTCCGACTTTTTCCCTTTGCCCCTTGGGATTAAAGGCCGGACAAATTAGATGTGGATCCACATCCAGACGCTTTCCACACTGAGAACGAAGGTGTAGAGAGTGCACATTGAGTGTGGGGAGGGGAGGGGACACCATCAATGGAATACAAGTAACATGCAAACCAGAATTTACTGTCAGCAGTCTGGACAGTTCTGCCATAATAATTTTTCAGAGGAATCATTGTCTGTGGCATCACTTTTTTTTTTTGTATTAACGTCCTTTTTTTTTTCCTCCTCGTTTTCACACTGTCTTCCCTCTTCTTGCTCTTCCATACATGGTGTTTTTAAACTCAAAGCATCTGATTCAACGTAAAAGGAGGCCCGCCTCTCTTATCAAATGTCTCGTATTAAAGTGAACTTCGCAGAAAAAGGTCAGCTTCAAAACCTGTGAACTTCCCAGCTGCGCATTTTTTTCATGTTAATTTTTTTTAAATAAGTATACCTCTTCCTTCTGTTTTGCTTTCTTGGACCATTAAAAAAACATACATTTTAGTTGGTAAACCCCTCCCCCCTTTCTCTCAAGATTCATCCAGGTTATTTTTTTCCGTATTTTTATGTACAAAATAATTTTTAGACTTGTTTTGCTTCGTCGTTCTCTTTCTAATTCCAGCCAAATAGCCATAAGAAACAAGCTCCCTTTCTCCTTTTCTCTCTAGTTTGTTCTCTATTCTTTTTTGTTTTTGCTCGTTTGTTGTTAGCACGATTTTATTTCAATGTAGGAGTCCATCGCCGCAGTCTTGCCGCTATCCACTTCTCACTGTTCCCACACTCCTTTGTCCAGGCTCTAGCCAGACTCATCCAAACCCGCTCCTACAAAGCCGAATTTTAGTCCCAAGAGCCCCTGGGCTGGTGGCCCTCGTGGGATCCCGGGTCCAACGCAGAGTCCGGCCCTAGGAATCCAGGGAGCAGAAAGAAACGGGAGGCGGTCGGCGGGGAAGGGGCGGGCCTCGGCGGTCCGAAGCGGGTGCGGGAGAAGCAGCCGATCGCGGGAGGGCGTGCGGGGTCGCGCCGCTCGGGAGGCTCCAGCGACCGTGGCGCCGGCGTCGGCGTCACAGACCCAGGGCGGCCGCGTGCTTTTTAGCTTTTAGTCTGAGATCTGCGATGCTGGAGTTCTTGCTGGTGGTCTTGGCGGCGGCGGCAGCAGCCACCACCGAGGCGGCGGAGGCCGAGTCCGCGGCCAGCGTGGCCAGCGGCAGTCCGAAGGGCGGTGCCGGGAACATCATGTAAGGCGCGTGCGCGGCCAGGTGCGGATGCAGGTGGTGGTGCGCGTGCGCCACGGCGCTGTCCAGCTGCAGCTGCGCCTGAACCTGAAAGGACAAGGGCGTCACGTTGCAATGACTATCCTAGGGTAACAACAGAATAGAAACAGAACATTAACGGCGTCCAACTTGGCTATGGGGAGAATTGGGGTGCGCGACAGGGAAGCTACATTTTGCTAAACATCCGTTTGGAGAAGGGTATTATAGGTTTTTGTTTTTGCTAAATCTGTGGCACCCCATCACTACCCCCAGGTCATTAAGAACATGTTTGTTTGGGTTCCTCATCCCTGTCTGCAGGAATGTTATGGCCCCTTGGGGGACTTGGTGGCTGATACCATACCTTGATATGGTACCCATGCAACACCACCTCAACTCGGCGATATCTTGAAAAGGTTGTGTTTAAGGACTGTTACCCTCCTCCTGTCTCTGTCACAAACATCTTGGACACACTACTAAAATAAAATACATAACTTTTTCTTGCCACTTAGAGATGGTCTTGCATCTGCAGGTCTCAACTTTTCCTGAGGATCCTGTTTCAATGCTGACCCCAAGTCAGCAGGACTTAGTCTAAATTCCTAATAGTCTTCTCACTGAGGCTGATTCTACTGGCCTGAAGACCTCTACCTTCTTAGTAGGGCCAGTGTCTTAGTAAGTTCTACCTGTGTTCCTCCTCCCCTCCCCCACAACTCTCCTCATTTCAAAGGGCTTCCCATCAGGGTCCAGGGTCTCCTAGTGAGGTGAGGACACTCATCTCTCTCTAATTCTAATGCTCCCTAGATGGGTATCACTTGGAGTCTCCCAGTCCAGGGTACTGGTGGTGGCATTACAGCCTTGGTGAGCAGGGATGCCTGCTGAAGATGGGGAAGGTCAGAGAGTGGCAAGGAAAGCATTTTGCCCTTGGGCTTCGAGAGTGGGGAGTTCAGAACACTGAGATTTCCCAGGACTTAATCATTGCTGCAGGCTTTCCTTTAAAAGGTTTTTTTTTTTTTTTTTTTTGGCTCAGAAAGGGATAGCTGAGGTAGGGCAGCCAGCCCTGGGAAGACCAAGTCTTCGCTTTCTATCAGAGAGGAAGCCTTTTTTTTTTTTCTTTGTAAGGACAGCTTTTTGAAGATAAGTCTGAATTGGGAATCGCTGTGTTTATTTGTCTTCTGCCAGAGACACTGAATGTGACTAGGGGTAGAAGACACCTAGCAAGAATATTTTGAAGATTGCTTTCAAAACACCTTTGGAGTGGCCTCTGTATTTGATTTGACAAAATTCTAATCAAAGGCTGCTCCTTCTACTCCCCAAGTGTAATCTTAAATGCATTTTCTAAAAGGCAGGTTACTGCCTTCAGGCTCCTTCGGGGGTCCCCATGAAAACAGAGAGCACTGAGTATTTGAGGCCATGACACTGTATAGGTTTTTAAAGGAGAGCGGGATCATTATATAGTCTTGAAATGGGTTCTTCAACTGAATGGACATTGAGGCTCAGAGACAGGGTCTGTTCAACAGTCCAAACATCCAGGCCTTTTTACATTTAAAAACAGCTTGAAGCTAGGTTGTACTTGCCTGCTGGAATGGCATCCGTAAAGCACCTACGTTGACATAGGGTGCAACTCTACAAGCTTCAAACTGGCTAGCGGCCCCTATAAGGACACCTATAAAAAAAAAAAAAACAACAACAAGGGAAATGAAACAGAAGAGGTGAGGTCAACATTTCTTGTCAAAATCCCCAAGGTGCCAAGTGATAGCAAGATAGAACGGATTCTAGTAGAAATAGGATGTCACTTTTTTTTTCTAAATTGCTGCTATGAATGAAATAAGTTGCAGCTGGTTTCGAAGTAGTAGGACTTCCATTAACTGTACAGAAACTTCGCTTAAATCAAGTCTTACCTGCATCCCTAAGATGTTTTTGTCTCTGATAGTGCAATATCCCTCCACTCCCCACTTTTACTTATTAATAAAATGCATGATAAGACATACCTTTATGGAGCTGATTCTCCTGTTTTCTACACTTAGCTCTTCGATTTTGAAACCAGACCTACAAGTTGAGAGGTGGGGGGGGGGACACATAAAACTCAATGATTCAAAACATCTTAACGTCTTAAATTATAGTTGTGCAATAAAAAAATAGTAGTGTTTAGGTCAATCTTGGGATACAAAGAACAAGTTTTAAGTCAAACAAAACAGCCTCAATTTCCAAAATGAGAAATGTAGATAAAGTATAAAATAGAAAGACTTCCTAGACTCTTTGTAAGATAAATTGTTCCTTGATAAATTACTATTAGTTCCGGTTTCATCTTTCCACATTACAGAGTCCCAGGGGCCTAAAACCAATGTGATAATGGGTTTAAATGTTTACCCAGTTAAGACCCAAGAAGAATGGACTCAGTAATAGCCTGTAATATTAATTAGCTTCATCTCGAAGAAAAACCCAAACAGTAAAGCAAATAATGACTCTTATTTTGGTGGGGGGAGGGAGAAGCAGGGGAGGGGAGGTAATTTGTGTCATAGAAGCCTCACTACAAAGAAGTTTAGAATTTCTCTGTCCCTCTGTGCGCAGAGTGTAACACAGTGGCAGAATAATTGTGCCATTATCATGATAATCTAATTTGCTTCCATAGAAAAAGCCACTGCCTGCAGTTAGGACAGTAGGAAAGATTCCAGAAAATAGCTCCTGTAACTTAAATGAAAGTATGAGGGGGAAAAAGAGCAGCAATAAAGTTCATTTAAAAAAAGCACACAAGTGTTGCCACAGACAGGAGGGGTGGGGTATGAATCAAGTAATCCCTGGATACTGGATATGGTGTTCTTTAATAACTTGCCAACTTTTCAAGTCAGTGTGAATTTTTTATTTTTTTTTAAAAATTCAAATAAGGCTTGCTTTTTAATACTCCAGTTCCAATAACACAGCATATTGATTGATTCACAAATTAATGTTTTTTTTAAAAAAACATAAGAGGGAAATATTGCTTCAGAGCCTTTTCTGATAAGTTTTTGAAACCAAGTGCCAGAGTCAATGGAAATCTTCAAAAATTCTCCTGATATTGAGTATAATGGAAGGGTGGATTTCATGCCAGGGTGCCACCCTTTGTGTGACTCACATGGCCTGAGGCTTCTTGACTCTTTTTTCCCCCCTAGAAGAGTTGGAATGGAGATACTATTACTCACGGCTGCAATAATTATCACGGTTTTAAGGGGTTGCAGAGTCTCTAGAGAGCTCAGGGCAGGCTGCAAAGCAGAGCAGGCTTAAAAAGGAAGGCTCTGGGATTGACGTCGTGATGACCAAGGAGGCCTATTATTATTTTTCCTGTGTCCACGTTACTGCTCTGTTTTTTCCCCCTGATCCTATTACAAGATGCGGGGAAGCCCCATAAGAATTGCGCATAGTTCCTTACAGATGGTGGTCTCTCTGCCTAGAGACCCAGGGAGTATCTGTTACAGCGATACTTTGTAACAGCTGCAGATGTTCTAGGCTAAAACTGCTCCATGTGTTCAAACAAATAATGACCATCATTTTCCCCCAATTTTATTATTTGAGCGGAAATACAATCTGAAACGTTTAAATTTGTTCCCCATAAAGCTGGAAGGATATGTACGTGTGTTTATAATTCCACCTTTAGATTATCCGTAACCTCACTTTTTGGTTTTACATTCACCTAAACAACCAATAATGAAAAAAGGTGCAATTCTTACTTCATGTGATATGAGCATTTTTCATAAGGTTAGGTTTTGCAAACATCAATAATAAGACGTGTACGTTGCTTTAAAAATGGAGTTTTCGTGAGCGTTTAGGTTCTTTGCGTTGGTTAAATGAAGGAACAAAGGGTGACCAAATACATTCGGTGTACTCTGTTTCACACCCGGTTAGAGATCGACCCGCTAACAGACACTGTAAATTTTTGCACTTAACAGATGCTAATTTTCTTTATAGTCCTTACATCTATAAACCTAATTGGTATATCCGTTTGGCAAACCCAAGACCCTCAACGAAACCCAACTCCAGAGAGCAAAATACTTGTTGTAACTTTTAAGGCTTCAGAGATAAAACGTTTTCTGTGGGATTTTTTTTAAGGCTTATAAAAGTAGGCCCATTAGGATTAAACCACATTAAAGACAGCACGAGGCAAGGGGGTGTGGTTAATAGAAACTCTGGGAGCAGGCCCAGCGCAGCTTTCTTCTTCAGCGAACATATGTTGGCTTAGGGGTGAAAGGGGCTACGGGGATCAAAATCCATTTTAGAAACTAAGAAATCTAGCAAAGATATCCTTCCCCCGCTTTCTCACCGCACACCAGACACCTGCACCAGCAGCCTAAGTGTTTCCCCTAAGCTGTCGGCAAACCCTAAGGTGCAGGGCTCTAGCTCTCAGGGCCCAGCCTCCGTCTGCTCGCAGTGGGGTACCTGTACTCGGGCTTCAGAAAGCCCCAGTCGCTGGCTCAGTTCCTCGCGCATGAAAGCGTCTGGATAGTGAGTCTCATCGAAAAGCCGCTCCAGCTCGTTGAGTTGTTCCAGGGTAAAATTGGTTCGACTTCGCCTCTGCTTGATTTTGGTCTGGCCTTCGTCCTCCATCCCTTTCGCATCGTCTTTGCGATCCTTCAGTTCGGGGGATACTGGAGAGGGCACCACGGACGGACCACACGTGCGTCGGAGCACGCACCAACACACACACACACACACACACACACACACACACACACACACACGGACAAAAACAACAAGACAAGCCGGTTACCAGATTTGTCCAATGGAAGGCTAGAGACTCCTAACACCTGGGGTAGGGATCCCCATAAAGACCCGGTGAGAGACCCGCAAAGTCGTCTCTACGGCTGCCTGGGCACAAAGTGGGCTTGCAGCAACCCAACTCAACTGTAGTCTCAGCTCAATCTATCCCTACCTATACTCTTCCCTTCTTCTGCCAACACCAAAAGCATTCCTGACCCTCTGGCACTCACTGCCCCATGCACTCACGGAAATCAAAAGCGTCGCGCCGGCCTCTCGCAGAGCGCGGTCTTGGTTAAAGGGCGCGGCAAGGCCACGCAATGGCCTCGCAAGCCAGCCGTCCCCAGAGGGCTGTTCCACTGTCCCGCCAGCCTCTGCTGCCTCTGGCCCTTTGCCTCCCGCAAACTTGCTGGTCTAATTTAGGAACAACTGGGCTGGCTGAAAGGTCGCAGCGGGAAAACGAGACACTGGAACTGCGAGGCACAAAAAGCCACGTCCCCGCGCGCACAAGGGCTCTGACCAGACCCTTAGGGATGGTTCCGTCAGCAGCTAGACAGTCCCTGTACTCCCTGCCAGACCCGGGTCGAATTGGCACAGGCAACCATGCCATGTTCGCGGCCTGGAGGACTGGCCGCCCACGCTGGGCCAGAAGGGTAGAGGCAGCAAACCAGACAGACTCTGGTGGTCAGCAAAACCCACCCCGTACATCTGTCCTCTCCTTCTCCCTCCCCGGTGGAAACCAAAGCTGGACCCTAAAGGCTTAAACCCACTGAGATCAACAGGTTCAAGAAGAACATTCCTCGGTTTCTATTGGCTGTTAAAACCTTTTCATGCATCCAGCAGCTCGGATGTTTAATAAAATATGCAATTTTTTTTTTGCACACATCCATTGCTACTTTGCGGCCCTTTCCTTCCACATAAAAGATAGGAGCTCTGCCAGTTTGAGCAAAGGGAGTCATAGGAGGGATGATATGCGTCTATGCCAAAGGGCACCGATGCGGAGTGCCAAAGTCAGGCCCATATCAATATAAGGTCCACCTAACCTTCATCCTCTGTGCCTGATTTGGAGACGGGTGTCCAGTGTCAAAGCTAAGTTTAGATAGTAGAGTCTGTTTGCGATTCCTCCCAACCCAGGATCCGGATCAACAAGGAAAAATAAAAATCACGTCTGGAAAGAGCCAAGCTACAAAGAAATTAACACTTGCCCTGAGCTTGGAAGTCAACAGCCCTAGGAATCGGCACATGCAGGCTTCAGACCTTGTGGTTGGTGGGCTATCTAACCCAAGTCCCTGAGCTGTGAACCCTGAGGGGTTCCTCTGGCCCTTTTATAGTTATCCTGTCACTTTCTAAATTAAGGAGGACATGGTCCCGGAACTGGAAGAAGATGAACCGCCACATCGCGCCCCAGCCTGGCTTTCTACACCGTAATCTTATTTGTTGCCTGTATTTCTGCTGCTCAATTTGTGGACATTTGTCCTTCCTCCAGGAAGGAAGTAGATAAGGTCACAGCAAACATTAGGGGGTCAATTCAATAGGAAAATACTCTCGCTAACATTGTAGTAAAATTTAAACAGGAACACACATCCTTCAGATGAGAAGAGGAAGGCTTTTGTCTGTTGTCACCCACAGAGCAGATACCCCTCAAAGTTTAGGGGCTTCAAAGGGAAACAAGTCCAAATTTCAAGTTGATTAATAGACTTAATATAATGTCTCTTTTGCCCCCGACTTTCCACTTAATGGCCTAAACAGGAACAGACCGTGTTATAAACAAGCTAATTGCTTGCTTAAATTTGTGATTCTACGCATGCCACATATTTTCTTAATTGGAAAAATATGGCAGCACACCAGTTACTGCAGTACCGAGTGCTAAATTAATTTTTAACTTCGAATTGATAGACGCTTTGCCGTTAGATAAAGCCGTTTTCTAATACTGTTGGCTCCAAAATGATACCCTCACCAACACACACACACACACACACACACACACTCCTAAAGTACTGCAGGATTCTAGGCAGTAAAGAAATTCTGTCTATAGTGCACCCCCACCCCCACCCCTAGTACACCCCACAGACTCCACTGACAGAAATTCAGCTTGGCCTGGACCTCTGGCCGCCTTCTACCTTAACAGTTCAATGCAAGGTTTGGTCCCCAAGATCCAGAGATTTAGGGGGCTTTGCAGAGTTATAGGGGTTTTGGTGGCATCTCTAAAGAAGGGGCAACCTACTGTGGTTCTTCTCTTTCTCTCCCGCCCCCCCCCCCCCCCATCTAGGCCTAGGAAAGGGGTTCGGGCAAACTCGGACTACAGGCTCTTCACAACTGGTCTCCTGGTGAGCTCCTTGCCGCACCCCCTCTCGCAGAGGGCCACGCAAACTTCCTTGTCCCGCAGCGCGGGCCCCATCCTCCTGCTCGCGAAAAAATGCATTTCGGTGCAACCGGAGCAACTAGGAAGGATGCGCACAACCCCACGTTCTCCCCCACGCGAGGACCCCACCCACGACTGAGCAGTCTGGCCTCCTACCCCTTCACTATTTCTGTCGCTTCTAAAGCTGTGGTCCAGGGCCCTCTGCGCTGTCGCCCTCCTCCCGGTTGGGCCCCGGGTCCTCTCTCGCCTGCAGGACAGGGGAAAGCGGGAAGGGGAACCGCGACCGGGGACAGGCCATTACCATCCGTCAGCCGCGGGCTGCCCGGCTCCCTGCTCCGCTCCGCGGCTCCCATGTCCAGCTCCCGGACGGGAGAGCGCCCTCCTCCAGCTCCTCCGCCTGCTCCTCCTCCTCCAGCACCTCCTCCGCCTCCTCCGCCTCCGCCTCCGCCTCCTCCCGCGCCGCCGCCTCCGCCGGCCGCCCGGACTGCCGGGCTGCTGCGGTCGTCGCGGCCCGGCTCGATGCAGCCCGGTTCCTTGGCCCCACGCAGCGGCCCACTCTCCAGCACCTCCCGGTACGTGATGGCCTCTTTCTTCTCCTTCACTTTCTGGTCAAAAGACTTGGAGACGAACGCTGTAAGTTCTTCCATCGCGGCCGCTGCCGGTCAGCCTCGCGCTCAAGCTCTCCCTGCCGAGCCCCGCTCTTTTTTTCCTCCTTCTTTTTTTACTGCTCCAGCCCCCCCAATAATAACACATCAATGGGGCAGGGGGTGGGGGAGGAGAGGGAGGAGGAGGAAGAAGAAAAAGAGGAGAAGAAAGAAGAGAAGTAGAAGGAGAAAAAGAAGTAAGAGGAGGAGGAGGAGGACGAAGAGGAGGAGGGGAGAGGGGGGACAGGGGGGAGGAGGGAAGGGGCGGGGGCCGCCAGAGGGAAATGGGAACTGATGCTTCCCTGCCGGAGCGCGCGTGTTCAATGTTAAGATCTTTGACAATTCTTCCTGCGGAGAGTTCAGATCTGATAGCGACGCAGCTCTTGAAGTCTCACTATTTATACTTCCTAAAGGCGGCCCCTTGTTCTGAGTAAATTACCTCCCCTCGCAACTCTGAGTGAACCCCTTCGCGGGTAGCAGGAGCGCCACTACCTGGGGTGGGGAGGAGAGGGAGTGAGGAAGAGAGAGAGAGGGAGGAAAAGGGGAGAGGGAGAGGGAGAGGGAGAGGGAGAGGGAGAGGGAGAGAGAGAGAGAGAGAGAGAGAGAGAATATGAATATGAATGCGAATATTAAGGATGGAGGATCCAGGCAGGAGTCCACCGGGTTGGAGTGGGAGGGCAAGCAGGGGACCAGAGGGGGCGGGGAGAGGAGGCAGGTCCTGGCGGTTGGGTTTTCTGATAGCCTCGGCCGCGGTGCTCTTGGCCATTAATCCAGGATTGACAAGAATCCCTAATTAATTTAATTAAGCGTGGATTTTGCGTTGGTGTCACGACTTAGTAAAACACTGGGGATCTGGATAGACTTCTCGGAGGCGGGGCCAAGAGGAAACGCACAAGTGCACTGCAATCCGAGTCGGTGGGTATCTTCAGAGAGTATCTAACCCTACAGCCTCGCTCCGTCCGGGTGGGCACCCCAACTGCTCGACCCTACACTGATGACCCCTGGTCTCCGGCCCGGCATCGGGCGCTCTCCGGTTAATAGGCCCAGCAATCACTCCAGCATTCCGGTCCCACACCCCTTCCTCCCTGAGGCCGCTGCAGCTGCACAACTGGGCATCCTGGCTTCACGTGCCTGCTGCGAGCAGGGCTTCGCTACAGCTCCTTGGACTCCTATACCTCCTTTTAGGATCTTTCTTCCCGGCAGCCAGCCTTACCGAGTGCCCGTCCCTGTAATTCACCCTATTACTCGCTCCTCAGAGTCAAAGCCGACTCCCGTGAAGACATTTCCCGCTATAAGGGGTTGGTCGATTTAACTTGTTTCCTGAACAGTTGCTCCCCCGCCAGATCCGCTTTTAAGGTGTTTTCTTAGAGCCGGGTCAGGCGCAGTTTCATTTCGTTTCCTCTCTGAGGTCTCAAGATTCTTATTCTTTTTCTTTACAACCCCCTGCACCAGGTCTTTAATTATTTAGCAACCCAGGAAGCATTTCCTAATTTGAAAAACAAAGGATTATCACTTTTTCAGTTCTGCGGAAAAAATTACCGACGTTAATTGTCGCTCGCCTAATTTTTATTTACCGTGGACTGTGGAAAAAGACTTACTCTTCGGAGGGGGGAAAACAACTCTCTTTCTCTCTGATTCATAACTTAAAAAACTATATTTCTGACTCATTTTATGCAAACTATTTGTTATATAGGGGGAACACGCCTGTGTCCTGTAGACGGGGCCTTTCTGTGAGATTTTTAGCTATGCAAATACTTGCTTCTGCGTACAAAGGAATATTTACATATGGAAAGTTATATTGACTTGAACGTGTAAACAAATATACCCCTTTAAGTGTGGGTTTTTTGGGGGGCACTTAAACACCAAAATATTAATGAGGTTTTTCTGATGTTAAAAGATCATGTTCTCGTTATCTTGGATCCAGTACTCAGTAAAAATGAAAGCGGTTACAGACCATTAATATGTATGTCTTCTGCTCACTGATTAGAACAGCAAACTTAGCAAATAATTCGAGAAGTTCCATCAAAACAAGCTGAAACATCTGTAAAGAGGGCACAGTTGTAACGTGTCAGATAAAGGGTTTCTCACGTAAGTGTAATTTAAGGCTTTATATAACTTCATGTGACACTAAATACGCCACAGCCACTCTGCACATTTAAAGGAGATGAAAATAAAGCTGAATAGAAATGTTGCTGTATGTTGTCTCTGGCGTTATCTCTCCTTCTGAAGACATTTTCTTTTCTGCTTTTAGGACAAGCGCTTCCCTTTATAGTATTAACAGCAATGATGCTAATGAAGTCCACCAACACTTGGTTTTACTACACTTTCCAAGTTCTAGGAATTTAGGAGCATTGGTCTACTATCTGAAACACTGCAATTCCAATAAGAGAGCGGAATAATCACACAATTTCAGTCTTTTGTGAAACTATTTAAAAAGCTTATTTAGCAGGATGATCGGTAAGGGGATCTGCTAATTTGGTATGCTGTTCCAGTAGCTCTCAGGCTGATTCCTGAAATGGATATTCACAAACACCTCTTCAATAAGCGCTGCTAAAAGCCCGATAAGGCATTAGGTGACCCTCCAGATACTTCTTTATCCCTTTAAACACAGTACTTCAACCCAAACTCTTATGCCATCTTCTGAGCTGAAAGAAAAGAGGACCACTTTAAAGGTAACCAGAGAAGGCTCAGACAAAACTGTTGTGTAATTTGATCCAACAGATTTCCCCTATATTTCATCTTCTGGACTCATTTTAACTATAGGGATGGTAGATGAAGCAATGGTAAATCTCCAGAGTCTGGCTATGGAGCCCTACTTGCAGAGAGGACATTTAATTTAAAATTTTATTAGTGTGTAATTGTACAGATAGGTTTCATTCTTGAATTTTCCATATATGATACAATATACCTCTTCTGTTAGCCTCTTATATCCTCCTGCCCCCTTCCCTTCTACATCCCTCTGTTCCTCTGTTAGGAAGTTTCAGTTTTAAGAAGTCCAAAGTTTTGAAATCATATTAATAAGCACTATGATGTATGATGTTGTTTCACTAAACAGCAAATATTTTCCCGAGATAAGACATTTCAAAAACCAGTTTTGAAAAGAAAAAAAATATGGAGGTTAAAACTCAGCTGACAGCATATGCACAGATATAAACAAAACAACCAAAAAATCTGGACCCCAAGAGTTCTCCCAGCTCTTGAATTATTTATAAGAAAACATGGAGTGTTGCAGTTCCATTTTAAAATGGTCCCTCAAAACTGGTTAGTTAAGGTACAGCGATTTCCCAGAAATAGATCTATATTGGAGGTGATTTGCATCTCAAATGTCTGTGGAAATCTGTACCTTGGTATCTAGCTAAAGGTCGGCAGGAACTCAGGCTGATATTTTATGTATTTCCTTAGCTTTGCTTCCTTAGACTAAATAGTGAAAAACAATTTTCACACAAGGAAAATATGCTATGGACTACAGAAAAGGTTGCATGTCTTTAATTTCGGCCACTGAAGTTTGTGATAAATGTATATATTTGATTTCTGTTCTAGAAGAAACTTCTCGCATCGGGCAGATTTCTTCCCTCTATCCAACGGTTACTTTAATATTAGAACTAATTTGCGTCCATCCGTGAATGCCTTCACCTTCACGGTAGAACCCCCACCCCCCAACACACTCCGATTTTTAATGTATTTTTGCAAATAACTCATTACAGTTTAATCATGCACAACTCTATGCAGACGCACTCCATGATTTATTATTGTTGGGCGAATTTCGACGTCGCGTAACAGGAACTAACCAATTTTGCTCAGCGCGAATGTCTTAAACATAACTTCCCACGATGTAGATGTTTACTGATTATCTGTGACGATAACGACGATTACTAAGGCAGTAACATCCCATAGTCCCACCTTTATTGCTTTTTGGGAACAAGAAAATCCAATTATGCAAACATGCGAAACAAACATTAAACAAAAAATTGGCGGCATGACAATCCACTCGCTCGGCATTCCTGGTGGCCTAGCGGCCTGCATCGACGCACTCGGCAGCTCGGCTGACGCTGCCTGGCGCTGGAACCAGGAAGGCGCTGAGCTTAAACTGAAGCAAGTTCTGAGGACGCCGGTGGCGCCGCGGTTAGAAGAGGGGGTTCCAGGTCCCCGCGCCCGGAGGTGCGAGCCCGAAGGTCGACCCAGGTGATGCCGGCGTCCAGAGCTTGGGGGCGGCGCCCGCGAAGGAGGCGCCCGGAGGCCCCGCTCGGCGTGAGGCGGCGTGGGGCCTGGCACAGTCAGTGGCCGAGGCCGGGCCGGGGCCCGCGGCGTGCGGAGCGGAGCCGTGCGCGCATGCGCCTCGCACCTGGGAGGCTCCCTGCTCGCTGGCCCCGGGCACGCGGACCGCGGGAGTGGGCGGTCGCGGGTGGCGAGCGGCCGCGGGCCTCGGGCTCGGCCTATGGGCTGGAGGTGGTGTGGAGAGTTGGCCCCCATTCCTCCGGTCCCGGGTCTCGATCACCCGCCGTTTCGGGGTTTCCCAGTGTCCTACCTCCATAGCCCATTTCACTCTCACCTCCTCCAGGTGGTTGGAGCCAGGGGGATGCTAAATCTAATGAGCACTTGGTCCCCATCCTCTGACCTGTCTAACCCCTGGTTGACGTGAGAGACGGCACAAGGTCAAACAGATCTCCCTGTCGTGAAATACATCACTTAAAGCATTCTGAAAATTTTTTTCGACGTCAGGACTTTTGGTCACGTGACCAGATGGCTACCCTTGAACCCTACTTTTCTGAGCAGTTAAAATGTGTGTGTTACTTGCCCTAGATTTTAGGTTATGAGTCATGTAATTTCTGAGTTGTATTTTTAAATGCTATTGAAACAAAATCTAGACTCGCCAGTAGCCGAGTTTTGTCCCCACTAAGAAGTAGGTTGTTAAATGCATTCACCTCTCATCTGTTGGCTTATGAAGGGATTCGAATTGTCATCTTTGAACTTGTATGGGAAAGCTCCCAGTGAAGGAGCTATGTGGAGTTTTCAGGTTTTAAGGAGTGGAGCGGATGTGACAGGTTCAATCTTGTGGGGAAATGAGGTCTCCTTTGAGAGCCCCCTCTAGTTAGAGTTTATGAATATTCACTTTATCTGCAGACAAAGGCGGTTTCTTGCTAGGTGGTAACACTTTATTACTGTACGTTCAATAAGAGGGCTAAGAGTGTCTGAAGCGGAAAAAGACAAAGGCAGCTGGCGCTTGTCTGGCGATTGGCCTTGCTGACCCAGACTGGACAGATTCAGCACGCAGCAGCTGGACAGGGACTGCTCCTCATGGGGTTGTGATAGGGCGTTGATAGCTCTCTTTTTCTGGTTGCACCTTCAGACCACAGGAGGGAATCCTATGATTTGTCAGTTTAACAAGAGATGCTAATCTACAGACTTTTGATGTTGTTGGTGTTGC